ATATTATATACACAAGGCTAAATCGGTCTGCCCAGCCGGTCGAGAAGATCAAACCAAGAAGAGGACAAGCCAAAAGGCGGGAGGATCGATCATTCAGATAATCGATCAGGCAAGTAGTCGACCAATTCATCGCTCGACCAGATAAGTGATCGAGCAACATATTCGACCTCATCAGTTCGATCGCCTCGAGGGTCCGACAGTCGGCCTAGTCACAGGCGCGTGTGGGAACCTCTAACCGAATCTCAGGAGAATATTTACCCCATGTGCAGGGGGACACGTGTCCAGAATGCTTTGGTGGATATCGATAACCACCTCTGACAGCTCCCAACGCCCTGCGCCACCTCTGACATGTGCGCGGCGTGTCAAAGTACGGACGGGCAGCTTGGGCAGCCAGCTCATCCTTATCCGGGCAGTTATTAGGACAGGTATCTCACCCCTATATAAAGGGGGCTGAGCCTTTTTTTACCTCAACACATTCTTTTCATTCTTCACTTCAGTATACCCATACACATACTGACTTAAGCATCGGAGGCTCTTCACCGGACACAACCCCCGGTGTGAGAGTTACTTGCAGGTTTCCGGCGTTCTACCGGCGAGGACAAAGATCGATCCGTTCCAAACCGGAACAGGACGCTCACACTTGCATTAGGGCCCGCCCTGTATAGATGCGAACGAGCATGCTCTTCCACTATGGGATGGCAACATTGAGACCATACGTGTGGGTACAGTTTTTAGGAGCAAGGTAGAAGCCCAAACGGGGCTAATGGCTTGGAACGTTGATAGGTTGCGGGAGAAAAAATAACCACCGCCACACAGCCGTCGATTCCTCCTTCCCGTTTATTAGGTAAATTTCTTCTATTATGCTTTCATTTTTTCAATTTTTTCGATTTTTTCAAATTTTTCAAATTTTTTCGAAATTGGATTAGTATTATTTCAAATTTCTCGAACTTTCTTCAATTATGTTTCTATGTTGAATTGGAGATTGGGATTTGAATTTGGATTGTTGAAATTAGGGATTCGATTTATGTTTTGTTCGAATTATTATATGTTCGAATTAGGGCTTCGAAATAGGGTTTTTCGAACTAGAATGTTCGATTTGAATTATGATTGTTCGATTTGAATTATGATTTTTGGAATTAGGTTTCGAAATGCGATTTTTTGAATTAGGGTTTGTTAGAATTTAGGGTTTGTTCGGGTTTGTTGGAATACATTTCTTTGAATGGTTTAATCTCCTTAGCTGTTGATGCCAACTATTATATAACCGTTTTACGAATTTTTTAGCAAACAATTATAAGCAACAACTTTCTTTTCGAATTAGGGCTTCGAATTATGATTGTTAGAATTATGTGTCTGTGTTGAATTTTTTGATGTGTGCCTATAGTGGATAACCGGGTGAAAATGCATTATATGTTGTGAAATTAATTGGTTTTTTATTTGAAATTATTTGATTTCTTATTGGTTGTATATTGACATTTTTTTTAATGTGGAAAATGGCATCTTCGTCGTCTTCGCAGGCTCGCCAGTACAATGTACAACCCGGTCTGATTGACGGCTCGCTTCTTTATCTTCAGAACCGTCACCGGGCTCTGGCGGTATATCGAGATGAGCCCGGTTATCGTAACGACAGTATTAGAAACCGCCGTAGCAACACGGAGTTCTGGTGCCTTGGAAAACCAGCATGATAAAGTTTGGGAGCAAATCGACAGGGCAGCTTTTGAGCCCTTGTTTCGAATGGGTCGGGTAATGGCGGACAATAGCCTCATCACCTGCCTCGTGGAAAGGTGGCGACCCGAGACGCACACCTTCCACTTTGATTGCGGGGAGGCCACAATAACACTGCAGGACGTTCAAGTCCTAGTTGGCCTCCCGGTCAATGGAAAAACTTGTTGGGGAACGACCTACGATACTACTCCCCAACAATGGCGAGATTGGTGTGACGACATGCTAGGCTTTCAGCCCGGTGTCCAGGTATATATTTTTTTCAACAACTTTTTTTTTATATATTTATACTCCATTATTTCGTTTTTAATATTGTAATTTAATTTTTTGGCTCGTTTGTTATTTTACATTTTTATTAAACAAATCCAGGATAAAGATGATCCGGCGTACGACCTCAAGACTTGTCCCATTAAAGGCCAATGGTTGAATGTTGGCCCGTTAGAGGCTGTATGCAAAAGGCCGCTAAAAAATGGGGAAAAGACCGAGGTCTACGAGAAAAGGGTAAAGGCCCTTATACTCTGGTGTTGCGGCTCTTTCTTCTTCCCCGACCAGCGGGCCAACGGAGTCAGCCTGTACTGGTTGCCTCTGCTGTTCGAGATGGATGATATTAAGGGGTACAATTGGGGTGTTGCGGTCCTCGCCTTTTTGTATAGAGGCTGTGCATATCCTACAAGGCCGGGGAAGGGTGGCTCAAGGGTTGTGTGCAATTGCTTCAGATACATTTATTTTGTAGTTATTTCAAAATTCAATTTTTTCACTAATATCTAATTAACAAAATACATATGTCGATATGTGTAGGTTTGGCAATGGGAACGTATCCATCGCGTTCGCCCAACAATCCTCGAGAGACGCTTTGATTATATACGTGGTTAACCTTTAGGAGCAAGGTATGAATTTTTTATTTATATTTAATACTTAAGTTATTTCTTTGATTAAATTTTCTTATTACAATGTTTTTTTCTTTTATTTTTTAAGGTGGGTGGGAAAAAAAGACATGAAACACCTAGCCAAGAGAACGGTCGTTGTCTAGGATTAACTGACAGGGCTGAGAGAGGAGGATGTAAGATTCTTACGTTATGTAGATTCATGCCATTTTTTTTTTATTTTTTTAAAAATTTTTATAACTTAATTCTTAATTCAATTTTTTTTCTGTTCGATTGGGTCCCCTATAATGAGTTTATCGCGAACTCTTCTTCCCTCCCGGACCAGTGTCTAGAAGATCCACATGTTTGGATGTACAAGGGGTGGATCTTCTGCTGGACCATCGCTGAGCCCCACGAGACTGATAGGGTCCTCCGTCAGTTTGGGTGTTACCAGTCCATCCCCCCAACTCTGCTCTTTAGGAATGAGGCCGAATGGGACACACGCCATGGAGGGAAGGGAATGACTAGGAGGGCATACACTAATTGGGAGGACTTTCATTCGGCGCTCGGGAAGACTTGGTCCGAACAGAGAGACCAAAATATCCTCCCACATCAACATGTGGATCAATTCCTAGAGCCTGAGGAGGGTTACATTGATTGGTTTCACCGTAGGACGGTGAGACTGATCAGTAACCCTAACATATATCTGGTGGTCCAACAAAATGGCGGCTATCAGCCAATTGCCGAGCGGCAAAAGTGTGATGTAAGTTCCTAAATTGTGAATGTTATTATTATTATTATTATTATTATTATTATTATTATTATTATTATTATTATTAGTTTTTTTTTTTGGTGTTTCATATTAATTTGTTTGAATTTTATTTTCAGTATGGTGTCATGGAGAGGGCTTATAACATCTTACATGGTGTTGAGCACTTATTGGATACAACCCATCCAGAGGTTCAGACTGCATGGCACCAGGCCCAGACCATGCTCCACAGTGCAATGACTGTTGGAGGCCAAGAAGTCAGACAAGGGGGGTCGTCTAGTCAACTTCTATCTCAAGAAGACTACGTCCCTCCTCAGGCCACACAGTCACATCGGGCGAGGCATCAACCGGGTCTCAACATCGGTGGAGGTAGAAGACGTCGTGCCCGTGAACCCGCTGACGACACCGGGTATGAGGAAGTCGAAGAAGGTAATAATTTTTTACTTAACAAAAAAATATTTTTTTTCTTTTATTTACTTTTTTTTTTGTCAAGTCAAATTTCTGATTCTTTTAAAAAAATTAATTAATTAGGTCAAGAAGAAGAACCTGCTACACCTATCGCGAACATAGCCTCGTCTTCTTCAGGACCAAGGCCTCCTAGGAAGGGGTCCCGACGTCGTGTACCTCCGAATCCATACACCCCTTCCTAGTTAGTTTGTATTTCGGGACTTTGTGAACATTTTTTTATTTTGGGTGAATTATGTAGAATGATATTTGTGATATATGTTTGGACATCTTTGGAATGATACTTGGAATATATGTTTGGACATCTTTGTATTTTTGTGGATTATGTATGTGGAATGATATTTGTGATTGATATGAGTTTGTGGATATTTGGTTGTTGAATCGATATTGATTAACAGGTTGTTTAATACCAAAAGATAATATTTATTTGAAATTTGATTTCTTGCCAGAGACTCCGGTGCATCACTACCAAGTGAGAGCATAACCCTTAAGAACATCAAATACAAAACATCAACTATGGTTAAGTTTGGCACCAACTAAAGGTACGTCAACGACAATCTCCAAGTCTATCGCCCTCGCACAAAAAATCTGAGTCTTCAGCAAAAAATTATTTTGATGCCCTTGCACATACCCATCTGACCATGAGTATATTGTTGTTTACAACAATGCCACCGTGCCCTGATTGTGTTTAGTAAACATATTTACTACATCGCCACTGTCCATTTGCCAGATCAAATGATCCTTATTTATTCTTATTTGTTTCATTATGCTTCATTCTTATTTGATGCTACTTCTATTTGGATAAATAGTGAACTGATGAAAGTTATAAGACAGGAAAGGGAAGGCAATAATAAATATGGACAAATCAATTCAGTTTAATCATGAGTCATAGCAAAATAATATCCAGAATACAAGATTACCATTAGGACTACATGTAATTCGAAACACCAAGCCGTACATCTTAGCTTCTCTTAACACAAGCTACTGTCCATCTGTTCTCATAATTTTCGCCCAACATAAATTGAATTGAAAACCCATACACAAAAAACAAAAATTTCTACCAAAGAATCCGTCAAAACAAACTCAACCACCCATACATCTCGCATATGCAAACGTTTGGCTACCTTGTAGAATATAAAAACTAACAGGTTGTCTGTCATTTAATCAAAAATCCCCAAAACCAGTCAATTCTTGCCAAGCGTGAAGCGTACGAACCTCCTGACCTTCACATTTTCCCCGAGCGCGGCCACAGTCTGTTTCACCAAATCCTTCACAAGCACGCCATCATTCTTAATGAAGGGCTGCTCCAAGAGGGCAAGCTCGCCAAGCCTCTTTGCAACCCGTCCGTCGACAATCTTCTCCCTCACGTTCTCTGGCCTCGACTGAAGGTCTTCCCTCTGCATCTCCAGTTCCTTTTCCCGGCTGACAATGCTCTCAGGAATGTCCTCGACTGACACGTACTGAACGCTCTGACAAGCCACGGCTTGCATCGCCAGGTCATCAACCAGCTCCTTGAAGACTTGGCTGCGACCAACAAAGTCGGTCTCGCAGTTGACCTCAATCAGTACCCCAATCCGGGAGTCATGGATGTAGGCCCCAACTCGGCCCTCGGCTGCAGCCCGGCCCGACTTCTTGTCGGCAGTCGAGAGGCCCTTCTTTCGGAGGTACTCCTGGGCCCTGGCCAGGTCGCCTCCAGTTTCCGAGAGGGCTTTCTTGCAGTCCATCATCCCAGCCCCACTTTCCTCCCGCAGCTGTTTCACCAGACCAGCTGACACAGCCACCTTCAGAGGCCTAATTGAGGAACACATTAAAATGAATGACAATTATGATATAGAACAACAAGTTTGTCTGAGTTTTGTTAGTGAGGTTGAGCGATATAACTCCTTTTGCTAAAGCATTATCATCTTCTGTATTAGCACCTGAAAAGGGTGGCTTGTCGCAAAGATCTGGCGACATCTATTTTATGTTATAAGCTCATTGACAGCAGTTTATTATTTAGTCTGACGAATTTTGGCTATTCATTTTTTGTAATTTATTTATTTATTCAATTTGCCATTTTTTTGGGGCAAAAATTACATATCTCGGATACAAGATATGTGTTTTTAGAAATAACATGTTTCTTGGATCCCAGGAATCATTTCTCAGCACGAGAAACTGTTTCTCAGATCCAAGACAAATGTTCTGTCTCATTTCTCAGCATGAGAAAACTGTTTCTCAGATCCAAGACAAATGTTCACTCGAGCAATCGTTTCTTGGATTCAAGAAATATACAATGCAAATAATTAATAAAAAAAAAAATTGTCAAGTGTCACTGTCACTAAGGGTATGATTATCATTCAAGTAAACATGGTTAAAACACCCGACCATGTTATCAGAAAATGGATAAAAAGAATTTTTGAATAAGCAAATGGCCATTTTGTTATGGTAACTACTGTAGTAAAAGACCCTGCCTGGCTACAGTTATTAGCTTGCCTAAGCACAAGCCCACCTATACCGCATACATTTTTATCTGATTTTAACCTGTCTAGGTAGATCAACCCTAGGCGCTAGGCCCCATTCCACCGCCCAGAGAAGCCTATAGATTTCAACAAAACTGGTAATACCACTATCTATTCCTCTCCCCCTCTTCACCACCCAAAAACAAGTCAGTATTATTGATTTGTGGAGGACCCTCAGAAACTAATTAGGGGACCGTTGGCTATAAGCTGAAGAATTGTGTTCCTAAGGCAAATTGGTCGGGAAGGATTTAGCTCAGAAATTAAAACATACTTATTCGCTCGTGATTAGAGTTTCTTATTATTCTAACATTGTTGCAAGAAGTTAGGTATATCATAAATGTCATGATTTCTATATATTATGCTTCTTACTTAAGCGTACGTGTTCATAAATATAATCCATCAGTATGCAAATCAGGTTGCATTGACATGCAGTGCAGTACATGATATAATACTTACTCCTCCACGGTTTCTGTGGTTTCTGCTTCAGTAGCAGGCTCCTCCTGTTTAACAGATGTTGATACCAACTTAGAAGCAGTCTGGGCAGCAACTTCAGCAGCAAAATCTTGACTTTTCTTTTCCAAACCTTCACCAAGGTTGTAGCGCACGAACCTCTTCACCTTAATGTTCTCCCCAACAGTGGAGATGGTCTGCTTCACCCAGTCCTTGAGGTTCACCTTATCATTCTTGATAAAAGGCTGCTCGAGCAACGCAAGTTCCTCGAGCCTCTTCCTTATACGCCCGTCCACAATCTTAGACCTAATCGGCTCCGGCTTTGACAAAAGATCCTCTTTCTGCATCTCCATTTCCCTCTCCTTATCGACAATATCTTTTGGGATGTCCTCAGTGTCGAGGTACTGCACCTGAGGGCATGCGGCCACTTGCATGGCCAAGTCCTCAACGAGTTCCTTGAAAATGTCACCTCGTGCTACGAAGTCTGTCTCACAGTTGACTTCGATTAGGACCCCGATCCTGCTGTCGTGGATGTACGAGCCAATTCTGCCCTCGGCCGTGGCCCTACTGGCTTTCTTATCGGCGCTGGCTAAACCCTTCTTCCGGAGGTATTCCAGAGCTTGGACTACGTCGCCTCCAGTTTCCAAAAGGGCTTTCTTGCAGTCCATCATGCCTGCTCCCGTTTCCTCACGCAGCTGTTTTACGAGCGCTGGAGATATAGAATCTGCAGTCCGTTCCGACGATGAGATCTTAGTTGGCAGGATCAATTTGAACATGAAGATAATTGGAAACACGGGGGGATATAGTATGAAAAGGGAACTTCCTATTGAGATTTTACATAATTACAAGAGGGAAGTGAAAGGGGAAAAAAGCGTTAATTTAGTGGGTCCTAAAGTATCGTATCTCCAGTCAGCTTTACAATATTTTAACAAATGTCATAACAATTACCAAGAACCAGAATATTACCAAGAAGATACTAGCATGTCCTAGTAGATTTAGTATGGTACATATTCACTTTGATCAGTTAATCATTTCCATCTTATTGATATGAAATGAAAGATATTAAAATGGGTGAATCTACCTGGTTAAAACTCAGGCATTTTGACATGTAACATGAGACTAAAACAAGTTACAGATTCAATATAAGAGTTCCAAATACGAAATAATATCGTGATTAAAGCAAAATGGAAGAATTCAAAACCTTTTGTTGTGATTTCTGTAGGAGAAGCATCACCATTTGGTTCCCTTGGACTTGAGATGTTTCCGTTCTGCTCAGAGTCAACAGTGGTTTGCGCCTCCACTTCAATCAGAGTTACAATGTCTTCACTAACCACACTTTCTGCACAATGAAGTTCATGTTTAGCCCCTGGCATTGTCTCTTTCAACAGAAAGAATATCTTGGTAGACTAAAAAAGCCTTCCAAGAATTTTGACCATCAATGATATTTCATTGCTAGAGTTGAGAATCATATTCAAATGATAGTTTTTCACTAAGTACAGTAGATAGCAAATGATACTAAATATCTGCAATTAGGAAGGATTTGTCAGAGCTTCTAATAAAATGACCTAAAACGGGAGATAGAGATATATCAGAAAACCTGTGCACTTGTTCTCGTGATTCTCAGAAATGATCTCCGCTCCAGAGCTCTCAACAGTGCCATTCTCATCAGAGTTCAATGCAGCAGTTTCTTCTTGTTCTTTACTTTGGTTTCCATCATTGTCTAATGCTTCATCTTCAACAACGTCCTGTAATTCCCCATCCTTTTCAGCTGCATTATCAATCGAGGGGGGCTCTCCAGATAATTCCAACTCACTTTCGTGTGCAGAGAGGAAAGCCCCATTATCCCCTTCCTTACTTTGCTCATCTTCCACTATCGAGTCCGAAACATCTTCACCAACAAGAGCGACTTCTCCAGCTACCTCACCTCCTTGCTTGTTTTCCACACCTTTGTAATAATCATTCATATCCACCCCAACAACAGCTTCAGCTACCTCAACCAGATTGTCCACCTTCTCCCTCTTGTCCAACAATGCAGAGATGGCTGGACTGCCCCTGAATGCCAGCACAAAAGGGTTAGTATCCGAGTGAACCACCCCCTCACTGAGCATTTCGTCCAACTCCTCTGCATCTTCCTCCTTCTTCATTGTGAGTGTTACCTGCCCTCTGTTCACTCGCAAAACCCGCACGTTAACCACCTGCCCCACTTCTAGAGACGAACTGCCCATCACGTACCCTAACCCCTCTTTCGCCTCCTCAGATGTCGGCAAAAACCCTTCTTCCCCATCGGAGAGCGATATAAAAGCCCCTGCCCTCGTCAGGTTCTTGACTGTCCCCTCCAGGTCCTGCCCCTTCACGAAGTTGGAGCTCTTCCTGTTCTCGTTCCTCTTCTGACCGAACTTTCGCGAGGCCTGCGACTTGTCCGGGTCGAAATCCCTCTGCTGGGCCTTGCCCGGCTCATCACTGTCCCGCATTGTCAGGGATATCCGACCTGTCTCCATGTTTGCCTCAATCAGCCGCACGGTCACCTCTTGCCCAACCTTAACCACGTTTGCCACGTCCTTCACAAAGCTGCTGCTCAGCTTCGATACGTGGACGAGCCCGTCCGTGAAGGCGCCGAAATCGACAAAGGCGCCGAACGGCTGTATGGACCGGACCTTCCCCTTGAAAGTTGCTCCAGGGATGAGCTCCTCGTTTTTCACGGGCGGCATCTCGCTCTTACGGATGGGCCTCGAACGTTTTGAATTCGAGGGAGGGAATGATTCAGGACTTTCATTGTCCATGGCATTCGAGTCTACCTCCTTCTCCTCCTCCACAGCCAAGGGAGTCCCGGGTGTAGTGCACAATATGTGGGTCATTTGCCTAGGTTTTACAACACCCCCACCGAGGAGTTGGGGGAATAGACTGATTGAGGTGGATAGAGGTGGGATGTGCTTCTGGGGTGGGAAGGTGGCTTTGTGAAGGTTTCGTGGCTTGCTGCATCTGGGAAGCAAGCTGCTTTTTCTTAGTGTTAGGGCAGCACCGGGAGTGAGTGAGACGTGGCTGCTGATGCTTGAATTTACTGGAGCCATGTTGGGACGTGGCTGTTGAACAATCAAGAATCAGAACCACCGTTTCATCAATTTTGATCGCCTGAGACATGACAAAATCAATTCATTTTTTTAAAGCAAGAAATAGAGACATAAATGAAGATCTATGTAGAACCACGAAAACCGTGGGGGGGCCTAATGGTTGATGTATGTTTGAAAATTCTAAGGCTCTTGCTTAAAATTTGTGTTGACTCCTGTCTGTATTGATAAGCAAGCAAGATTATCAGGAGTAACCCATCATCGTTCACAGTTAATCTGTTAAGCTTTTGAAGGCTGATTAGTACAGTACAAAAGGATACCTAGTTTATTACAGTACAAAACTTGAGTTCCCAAACCTGTACAGTTGAGGTATTCAAGTTACTCAGCTGAGCCTGCATTACACCATCTTTATGCTAAAACCTTTCCACACTCACATATTTAATGAAGATAAATGCTTCAAGAGTCTGCAGAATCTTTGGTTATTCAATCCAGACATAAATGCTTTAAAAAAAAAAAAAATCACACAAAGCCCTCAGCAATCAATACTTTTTTCTCTGCATTACTCCTCACAACTAATTAATCATCGAGAAGAAGAGTATTTTCCAGGGGCGAAAAGAATCATTAAGAAGAGAAGGCCAGAAAGTAGAGCTGAGAATTTGAGAACAATCAACATTTAACAGTGACCCGTGGAACAAAGATAAAGCTCGAGCAAAAGTAAATACATCCAAAGAAGTGAAATTTACACTTGAAATTAATAAAACATTTTCCAGAAAAGATTAGCAGAATCGTACCTAGAGATGAGGAAGTAGCCGAGAATGCATAAGTTTCAGATGAAGATGATATGATAGGTGAGAAGCGGAGGAGAGTTGAGTCGCCCCCGAACCGAAAGAAATACGTTAGCCTCACAAATATGGGGAGTATAAGGCGGGGATGGGAAGCCTTATCTCAGTCGCACCTATCTATTGTCATCCTATCTCACTCCTCTATTTCTCCATTATATGATATGATGTTAACTATTTATATGAAAAAATTTATTTTATAATCTAACTCAATTCTAACTCAACTAGTATGAATCCCGTGCACGGGAAAGAGATATTCATTGATATTTATAAATTAAGAATTCACATTAACTAATATTTATAAATTAAAAATATGGAATCAATATGTGATATAATTTATCTATATTAATTTATAGAACTTAATATTAAGATACAACTCATGTGGTGCACAAACTAATAATAATTACATTTTATTCGCTCCAAAATAAGTGTCATTTCAAAAGTTTTATTTAGAAATTCAACTGATTATAATGTGATTCCATAAAAAAAAATTATTTTAGTAAAATCCTCCATATATATAATTCCAGAATGCGCTGGGCCTACGTGGCTGCTTCTGGTACTTCGGAATCCTATTTGGCGAAGAATCATGCTTCGTAATTAGGTTTGGATAAATAATATTGATATATTAATAATTAATAATCTAGGTTCGGGTATTTCATAAATATTATTTAGCTAACTTAGGTATTTTAATATTATTTTTACTAATATAACCCTTTTTTTTTTTTCCAAAACGATAGAGGAACTAATATAACCCTTTAATTCTTTGTAATTTTACATAGTGAGGCACTAAGTGACTAATATATCCCTGAATTTTCATTTGTTTCCTTCAATAAGCTATTGAATTATAA